AATTGCTGAGTATAAAGAGATGATTGCACATATGCTTCCAGGTTGGCCTTGGGGACTGCCCCACCCTTGGAGACTTAACCCCTGGGTCATAACTTTGAAATGGTTAATATCCCCACCCCAAAACTATATATACAATTGTTGGGCATAAAGAGACGAATGCAGTCATGATATTAGAATTGATCCCAGGGTCTGCCCCACCCTTGCAGACTTGGCCCCTGGGTCATAACTTTGAAACGGTTGAGATCCCCACCCCAAAACTATATATACAAATGCTTGACAAAAGAGACAAATGCATTCACGATATTAGAATTGATCCTGGAGTCTGGCAACAACTCTAGGGACCTAGTTTCTGAGTCAAAGCTTGGAAACAGTTGAGATCCCCACCTCATAACCATACATAACATTGCTGGGCATGAAAAATCTAATATAGCTATGCTACAAGGATTGGCCTAGGGGTCTGGCATATTCCCTTGATCTCATTTGGAGAATAGTTTGCCATGATTGCTTAGGTATCCAGGTGAGCGATACAGGCCCTCTGGGCCTCTTGTTTATGAATGTTCCCCTTCGTTCATAGTTGTGAATGTTTTATTTTGGGATCAATCAAGAAAACAAAATTGCTGCCAGCCAGCCATCATGGATTTTGAGAGTTAAGATTATTATTACTATTTCTCCAAAAATTGGGTATGTCCAAAAAGTTTGAAAATTATATCCAGTCAAAATGCCTTTCCATGGTTGTGAGCTAATTATGGGATTGAAATGAAAACATCAAATGTCTTTCACACCCAGGGGTGTTGTAGGATAGAGAAATCCTACCCTTGGGATTTCCAAATTTGGACAAAATCCTTGGCAAAGCCATGGGTTTATCTAATTTGAACCACCTTTGGTGAAATTTCCCTATCCTTCCCTCCTGGGCATGAAGGAGTCTTCTATTCTTTGTATATACATTGTATCTTATAGTATATGCTATAGTATATGGGCGAGCTACTCCTAGACAGGAAAATGGTATCGTGTTCTGTAATGTCTGAAATATTTGTCTTTTAAACAAATGAAGAAATGAATTATTTTGTTATCAGGGAGTTCCCGGGACCCCAGTCAGATACCGGAGGTGACGGTGACAAAGTCTGCTGCATCAGAAGGCCACAAGGATTTACAGGAGTGTGTGACGGTGGGCAGGAGTTCCGTCCACTACAGGCGCGGTCAGACAGAGGAAGACGGAGAGTATGATAAATGCTTCCTTCGTGTGACGGGCATGACCTGTGCCTCCTGTGTCAACAGCATAGAGAAAAACTTGGGCAAAATGGAAGGTACATATTGCTCATTACAATTAACAACACTTTAAGAATAGACATAATGTCTTCCCTTTGGTTTAAAAAAAAAACCCATATTTTAATTTATTTAAATATTTAAATTACAGGTTGTCTTGATTTTCAAAAGTCCTCTAATAAAAGTTCAACCCAATGCTCTCAAAGTTTTTACCTCAATTGCAATTGAGTATTTAAGTCTCAATCTAGAGTGTAGTTGGACCAAGATCACATGTATGTCTCCATTACAACGTATTCAACATACAAGTTTTTGATTGAGTATTTAAAGAGGGTGAGAAAAACAACAAAGCTGCTTCAGTCTGAGTGTTTGGTTGGAGGATTACAATTTGTACATACACATGTGTACCCTTACAGAACACAGTTAATTTACACAGGGAGGTAACATACTGTTCACTTTTAGCGAGTTAAGCTTGTCTACAATATACAGGAAGGACTGAGGCTTGTTTACAATATACAGGAAGGACTGAGGCTTGTTTACAATATACAGAAAGTGATGGGGCTTGTTTACAATATACAGGATGTGATGGGGCTTGTTTACAATATACAGAAAGTGATGGGGCTTGTTTACAATATACAGAAAGTGATGGGGCTTGTTTACAATATACAGGAAGTGATGGGGCTTGTTTACAATATACAG